TACATCCAAGATAATTTCCTCTCTGACATTATCATCCAACTACCACTTGTACCCTTAACGTCTATTGTATTCCAAGCCACCAGCCTATATACTTGGTAATGTATGAAATAGGATACATGTAAAAACACATAGAGAATAATATCATTGCGTTTAATATGCGTATCCCGTTTCATGGAAAAAACACTTATCATCTATATGTTATACTTATGTAAGGACCAACAAGGCCACAAGCCGTTGTCTTCCATCAGGGTATATTCCAGACCCTGATCCTCATCGAGCCTCAGTATTTGCTTCTGTTTCTTATCCATGTGTTCAGACTGTTATACACCTCAGAAAGATGAACTTGCCTGTGGTCACAGTATAGCACCCCTTTCTGATCATAGTTTACACCACCCTGTAATCATAGTTTACACCACCCTGTAATCATAGTTTACACCACCCTGTAATCATAGTTTACACCACCCTGTAATCATAGTTTACACCACCCTGTAATCATAGTTTACACCACCCTGTAATCATAGTTTACACCACCCTGTAATCATAGTTTACACCACACTGTAATCATAGTTTACACCACCCTGTAATCCTAGTTTGTAATCATAGTTTACACCACCCTGTAATCATAGTTTACACCACACTGTAATCATAGTTTACACCACCCTGTAATCATAGTTTACACCACCTGTAATCATAGTTTACACCACCCTGTAATCCTAGTTTACACCACCCTGTAATCCTAGTTTACACCACCCTGTAATCATAGTTTACACCACCCTGTAATCATAGTTTACACCACCCTGTAATCATAGTTTACACCACCCTGTAATCATAGTTTACACCACCCTGTAATCATAGTTTACACCACCCTGTAATCATAGTTTACACCACCCTGTAATCATAGTTTACACCACCCTGTAATCATAGTTTACACCACCCTGTAATCATAGTTTACACCACCCTGTAATCATAGTTTACACCACACTGTAATCATAGTTTACACCACCCTGTAATCATAGTTAGTTGCTTGGTTTGTTGTTTAACGCCACTCAGCAATATCCCAGCTATACCCTAGCGGTCTGTAAATAATCGAGTTTGGACGAAACAATCCAGTGATCAATACCATGAGCATCGTTTTACGTAATTAGGATACGATGACATGTGTCAACCAAGTCAGCGAGCCTGACCACTTGATCCCGTTAGTCGCCTCTTACGACTAGCATGGACAACTGAATTCTAACATGGATCTCTACGGGTCTTTCAATCATAGTCTTCACCCCAGTGTTGTCTAACAAGTAACGCTGTTACTAACGGTTTCTTAGGCATACTGGCTTTTGAAACTAACGATTATAAGTTTATGAGAAAGGTATCTGAACTAACTGCAGCTTCAGGAATACTTCTAGAATACAGGTGCTCAGACACAGCGTTTTGTTCATAAGCATGCATAACCATTTAGTTCATGAAAGCGACAAAACGGTTTCATATCTATAAGACATTTCCTCTAAAACCAGTCCATTGTACACGTCCAACTATAAAAGAGTATGTGTACGACGGCAGTCTGTATTTTAATCGAACCTGGACAAGACAATCCAGTGATTGATATAGTGCGATACGATGACAGAGCGTGCGAAAATGATGACACCACATGTTCGCGTAAACCTGGTAAAGGTGAATGTATCCTGCCCTACTGGTGGTACCCGTCATAAACATACAAAGACATTGGGAACGTTTGGTCCAGGTAAAATAGGGAATTGCATCGGACATGATGTTTGTCACATGTATTCCATAAAGGCGGTGTTTGAAAGGACTGAGGCCTTGAATGTTGTAATCATGATGGAATAACTTCTGAGAAAGAGTCATATGGAATCTTGGTAAAGCGAGCATGCTCGATGGTACCTTCAAAGTTCCATTTTAAAACCTAAGGCTGGAGCTGTTTGAATATTGCTGGACGTGAAGGGAGAGTTGACTATTGGAAAGTTGATCATCCCTTTTGTCATACAGCCTTGTGGTGAGATGGCTGTCAGACAGAAACTTCATGCCTAGATCAAAATGTCTAACGTGTGTCGTTGATCTCCAATTCACAGGGGCGTAGGAACAGGGGGTCTTGCGGGGGCTTACTTTTTCAAGACGGGACCATATCTACCTTACCATAATTACCATTTCATTTTGATTTTCAATACTTTTCACAGATTAGCTCCCCCGCTCTGAAAACCGTTCCTACGCCCCTGACTTCAAGTGGGTAACCATTTGAAGTGAAGTGGCTCGTTGCTGGTTATTGAACGATATTAGATCGCCGATATACCAGAAGCCTAAGATAAACTTCATGGCCAAAGTACGTTGTTTGTCTTTGCCACCCTGGGACAACCTGATGTATTTGTATAAAGAAACAGATCCGCATAGAGGGGAGCACAATTGGTGCCATGGGGATGCCTACATCTTGTCTGTATATTCTTACCCCAGACGATACGTAGATGCTACCAATAAGGGAATAAAACATTTGTTTGATTAGTAAACGTTTTGAACCTTGGAAGATGGACATATGGATATCCTTGGTCATCACTGGTATTAACAAATGTCAAATGTGACAAGGAATTACTTTCCCCGAGTTCCTGATAGAGGTGTGGGATAGAGGTATAGTATGACCAGAAATTATTGAGAATTTTAGGAATATGTTTAATTGGATTTCTAGTATAAACAACCTTGACCAGCTATCAAGTGCTTGGTTTCTTTCAAGAGAGACAACTCCGTTAATCCTTTTTCATTAGTTTGTGAAGAGTTATCTCCCTTTGTTTACTTGCTAGCGGACGACATTTTCAGTGATCCTCAGTATGGATGATTTAGAGAAGAGGAAGTTGATTTTAGAGTATTATAACAAGGACATCAGATCAGCTAAAGTGATTTCAAGTAGAACAGGCATCCGTTTGTCCACTGTTTATCGTATTTTGAAAAATGTTGCAAGTGGATATGGCATTGAGCACAAGGGAGGCGCAGGTAGGCCCAGAAAATTGACTGTCGGTGACAGGAGGCGGCTTGGTGTTCTTGTTTCTAAAAACAAACGAAGGAGTTTAGAAAACGTAAGGTTGGATATGATTGATAGAGGAACTGTGGCTGTCTGTAAGGAGACAATAAGAACTGATCTGCATGCAATGGTTTGGCAGAAAAGTCGAGGAATTCCATCACCGATCATGAAACCTGAACAAAAGGAGCGAAGGTTAAACTGGTGCTTACAGCATAGAAATTTTAACTGGGACAATGTGATTTTCTCAGATGAAAGTTCTGTGTGGCTGTTTCCTAAGACACTGAAATTCTGGACCAAACAAACTGATAAACCTTTGTATCAGCGCCCAAAGTACAGTCCGAAATTTAACGTGTGGGGTGGCATATCTGTGTTAGGGGCAACGCCCCTCTGTGTATTTGAAGGAAAATATGAACAATGAGCGGTACACAGATATTCTCGAGGGACAGTTACTTCCATCTGCTCACGTGTTCTAGGGAAATTTTTGGATTTTCCAGCAGGACAACGACTCAAAACATCGTTCAAAGCATTCACAGGCCTGGTTTCGGACCCAAAATATGACATTATTAGATTGGCCAAGCTATAGCCCTGACCTAAATCCAATAGAAAATGTTTCGGGACTTATGAAGGAAAGTGTCAATAAGAAAAATCTGACAAATATTGCTGAAATGAAAGAAGAGATGGTCCGATAGTGGGACAGCATGGACCACGACTTTCTAACTTCTTTGATCAGTAGTATGCCCGCCGCATTGAAGCCTGCATAACTGCCCATGGTGACTTGACAAAATACTAACTGTTCACCTGTCTTTGAATCTGGAGTTATGTTCTGCTAATATTCACATTTAATACGTGAGTAATGAGTGGAAAAAAAAAATACAATCTTTAAATTCTCAATAATTTCTGGTTGAAATATTTTGATAGAATGGAAATGGGAATGGATTGTAAACATTCAAGCCCGACTTAATGATATGGAGTACATTATTACTGTGCTGGTAAGATTATTATCTCTACAAATAACTTTTAGCGAATGTAGAATAAAACTGGATGTAAGTCTTACCTCTGCAGCAGCAGCTTCAAGATAACTGGAAACCTTATCCCGAGATGCTGTATCTGTGGACCAGCCCTAGGATGTGCATGATTACATGGTTTTGTTACAGCTTGGATGTATCTGTTACCACTTACATTACGTCACGTATTGATCGAAACTCTTCTACACCATACAACATATTCATGCCTAAACAGTACAATGTGGGTAGAGAGGCTTTAGTTCATGTCTCTGGTCTCTGTAGAATATATAGTTATTTTACGTTGTGTCTGTAGACTATATTTCGTTTTATCTGGATGTTATATTGTAGTTGGTGTTTTGTGAGGCTGTTTGCTCTATCTGCCATGATATAAATAGTTGTTGCTTCATTGCAGTGGATGCGTTGTAACTAGTGTCAAGGACAGTCGAGAGCAAAACTGAACAGAATTAGACGTATAGCAACTGCCCGTCTGCGGTCAGTCTTCAGGGTGGTCTCACAGTCTCGGCGTACGTAACCGGTATGTGGAACATGTCCGTATGACTACTACAGAAAATAGGTGTGTGGTTTATCTTTTACAGACGAAGTATATACATGTGTCGTTGAAGTAAATTATGAAAGAAATGTACGAGGGCAGGCACTTACGGTAGAAGGGTAACAAGCCTTGGAGTGGGGGAGGTGTTGGTGGGTGTATGGCAAGTAGTAAACAGCTAGGAATGAAAATGGAAAAGAATTTGATTGGTGATCAGTTCCAAGTTTTAAGAATGCAATTGATTGTGTTTGCAACAGTTGAGTTATTACGTACATCCCACTGGAGTTTAAAGTAGCACACATATCAATATATATGTTTACGATTTAGTTTGTGACCAGAAGATAATGCCGGATAAAGAGTCTCTGGACTGACGTGGAAAACTATCAACCAAGTGAACGCAATAAATTAACATTTTTATTTTAAAAAATTCCCATAAAGTTGATTTACAATAACACGTGCTTGTTGCTTCTCCTTGATATGTACACACATATTGTCATTGATTAGTTATTGATTAGTCATTGATTGGATATTGATCAGAGTAACGGGGACAGGTTTCAGGTGTTATGAGCAGGAATACACTGACATTGAATATTCGGGAGGTGGAGGCGATGGCCGATTCCTTTTTAAACCAGTGAAGAGAATGTGATACAACAATCATTGTATTTCATCTATGTCATCAATTACAGTCATTAGAAATATGTGGTCCAGACTCTAACTGCCTTTAAAAATGACAAAAGTGTGTTTGGGGCTTTTTCATATTTTCTTGACGCCTTTACTTCAGTCCAACGCTGGTTCCACAATTTGTCTTGGACTAAACCAGTTCCGTGCTTGTTCCGTGGATCTATAGAACAGGAACATACAATCAGTTTGACTGTACATGTGTTCAGCACGAAGTTAATATGGAGTAATATGCCTGGTTTCTCCCGGAGTCCAGCTATACCAAGATAACATGGTGCCTATGTGGACGTGTCTATTTGTCAATTAGCTGATCAGGTTTTCTTTATTTACCTTTATTGACAGGTAACAGCTGCAGGAAGTCAAAGTGATACTTGTATTTAACTAGTGTTACATATAGCCAGTCTTGACGCCAATCAGGTACAAGTTGCACAGTGCCCCCGAGTCGTCCCCTACCTCTCTCACGGCAGCTGTATTGTCAGGTTTCTTCTGCCGACACTTGTACAGGTAGTTGACGATCGGGGTGATTAGTTCAGGGTCTGTGGAAACTGGGTGCCAATATCCTAAAGGGAGAGGTAACAGAGGGTTGTAACTGATGCTGTAGGTAATTCAGTGCTGTTGGCAAATAGGCCTTTGTCCTGAAGGGTGGAGTCTTCAGCCGTGGCCTGTTAGCTTTTAATCGTGGAAAGATAATCCGATAATTTCATTTTTTCACTCCAAACCATAATGCTCCTATTGTAACAATGACGAAAACTCAACAGCGTTCTGTCCAAACCATAATGCTCCTATTGTAACAATGATGTAAACTCAACAGCGTTCTGTCCAAATCAGACGTTACTGTCGGTTGGGTTTGTCAGTCATTACAAATAAAGATCTCTGTGAGACTCCTATGTGAATATATTTAGACAGTATTCTATGTGTTGTAAGTATTATTAATGGACTTCTGAAACGCTACCCATTCTTGGCTTTCAAACCACTGGCGTTGTACCTGTGATTAGACTCACGACCACGCCTACGGTAACGTTGACAATGGCCCCAGACGCCGTGTAGTACAAAAATGACAATCGGTAGATGCTGAGGTAATTGTCCCTGAAACAAACAGTACATATAGCATTTACAGGTCACACTTTCAGTACGGTGGAGGCAGCTGCTGATCCAGATGAAATCAACATGTATCAAACGGTTAACACCACTTTAATTAGCATGCGTCACCTGCCCCGTATCACCACAATGGTGAATAACAACGAATACACCACTAGGGTATGATATCTCCATTGTTTCAACAGGTTGATTTTTTCCATAGCTACACCAAAACCTCACGTGCGGAGGTTACTATGTGGAGGTATATTTGTTTTCACCGCTGTATACAAATAAGATGTGTTCTCGTGCAGATACCTCACTTTTCCTCGGCTTCGCCTCGGAATCGTAGGTATCTTCACTCGATATCGAACATCGGGAATTTTCGAATAATGCTCAATATTCGAAAATTCCCTCTGTAAGATAGCCGTTGGAGACGAAGGATGGAATTTTCGAAACTTAAGGCACGTAAGAAGTAATCTCCATATAGTAACCCCGGCACGTGTATTGGAAGTGTTCAAACTAATAAAGAAAAATTCAGCACTTTAATACTGTGGAAAGAGTCCTAACCGCAACACACAACAAATTAGGAAAGAAAACACAATGTGTTACATTTTATTTATTGTCAGTGTTCACTTCATAACTAAATTGACAACACAGTTCTCGAATCTAAGCTCTGGACATGCGGACCGAGGTACCGCAATAGTTGATGTTTCAGGGGCAGTGTTCCTACCCATCTGGGCGGCTTCTTTAGTTACTGTCTCGGTTACTGCAGTCAGCTCAGAATCCTTATCAGAAGAAACAGGGTCGGTATTAAGAATATCACTGACCATACTCTCCTGCTCCTCGCTCGTCCTCGTGTAACTACGGACCCCTATTTTGAAAAAAGAGACAATTTATAAAAGTTAAAACTTACCTGTTACACATCTGTTACATATTTTACATATATATTTTATATTGAAACATTTAAAAAGACTGCATTTTACCTTCACGGTAAATTATTCATTTTTGTACTTTAAAATCGGCTTTTGGAGTTATAGAATATTCAGTATAACATAACCTCTAACACTTCTGTGACCAGTACGCTCCATAATGAGCTGTTCACTTACACCAGCATTGTATAGTCTTGTAGCCGTTGTAGCACGTAGCGAGTGATTGGTTTTATAACCTTGAATACCCGCCCTGGCACACATCTCGGGAACAATCTTCTGCAGCGTGTTATGTCCTAAGGGCTGCCTACTGTACCTGAAAATACGCATTTTAGTAACATTAGCAAAATACTGGAAGAAATGACAGAAGTTTCCAATCACAGACATTTATTAAGGACATACCAACTCGGGCGAAAGTTTAACAATGGAACATCACATGACTTGATCGATTCTGACGTTACTTTCTCTGGTAATTATGTTTAACACACTCGACTGTCAATTTAAAATATTTTTCTCTAAATTAGTTACTTAAATTATATATATGCAAATCATAATTAGATAATTACTACTAAATTAATAGGTACGAATTCGAAAGTACTATTTTGTAATACAATTTAATACTAGTACTTAAACCAAAACAGTATAGAATAGTACTGGGCAACATTACTTCCTAAATCATAATTAATAACAGTAAGTGATAATCTTTACATGTATATGTTAGATATAGCTGAAAGGTTTTTACCAGCATTTGTCTGTGGGCGACTGCAAAACCTGGAGATAAAAGGCATCATCATGGCCGTCGGTAAGGCAGAGGGAGAGGTACTTGTTATAGAGCCTTACGTGACATCTCTCTGGATTCAAACTCGGGTAGTGTTTGACTTCTTTCGGGTTGAGTTTCCTATGTTGTAGCCCACCTTGTACAGTTTTGGAATAGTCTTCTCGATAAAACAACTATTCTCGCCCTGTGTTATCTTTCCTGAGAGAAATCTGCGAGTTCACATATTTCAGTTGCCTGTGCTCCTGACCACTACGTAAGCTGAAATTCTTTCCATTCAAATACAGAATTGTATGCAACAGTACCCTTGGATTGTGATCTCCTGATTGTTTTGACTTCCACGGACACTCTTCCTCCCGTTCTGTGAATGGTTCGGCTTTTTTAACTTCCTGACCCAGACCACGACGTGTTAATCGTTTCATTTCCCCATCAAGAACCTGGTGAAATTCTTCGAAGGCTTCATTTTTTGTAGAAAATGCACATTTCTCTTGATTTGTAGTTTAATTTGAGACTGGATCCCCATTACTAATTGCAGCAGTGTTTTTGGTGGGTAAGGCTCCCCGTTTTGCTTCCGAACCTCAACGACAAATTTAGACATGAAATTCCCCAGTTCTTGTTCTGACATGCTTTCTAATGTGCAGGTTAACTTTCTGTGTGAACTTCGGCGATTGTTCATAGCTATAGCCATGCTTGAAAAGTGTTAACAGCAAATTTGTCTCGGCGTTGAGTGTTTGTAGGTATAACCTCCAATGCACGATTTGAAACTTCATCATCATTCGCTTCAACAAAACGCTCACCTGTTGCAGTTTTTTCTATACCAAGCTGGGACTCTATGACTTGGGACGCATGAACTAATTCTTCATCAGACTCGTCAGAAAGCATGATCCTACTAGTAATGTTTGCCAACGACTGTCACCCAGGTTCACTAAGTACACACACAACTGCATTGATATGCTCGGAAAAAGCGTGCACATGGTCGTTAGAGATCATGGCATGGACAGGTTACGTTTTGACGAATGTTCGCAATCACGAGCACACAGAGTACATTTAATTGGTTTGATATCTACCTAGGGGCGATATATGGACGATACCATTAGGAAAAAGGTAAGTCATCTACCACGCAAGTGAAAAGTGTAGTCCACATAGTGTATGACGGTTAGCGACACACCTCTGCGGGGTGATATGGATTCAACGCTCTCGGCTGCGCCTCGAGCGTTGAAATCCATATCACCCCTCAGAGGGTCGCTAACCTATACTTATTACCCATTCGGGCTAGGATACACAGGTGATTTAGTGATAATCGCACATGTGCTTTTCAGTGATTGTCAACGTTGATTTGTCAGCTAAGCAGGGAAGAACTATGATTGGTTGACGGAACTACTTTTCATGATTCAAGTTCATTGACAACGTTTCATTGATAATTAGAACGTGCTGTACTCACACATTCCGAGATTTAAAAAAGAAGACATAAAAGTTAAAGAATATGAATACTCTTTTTATTAGACATCATTATTTGCAATAAAATTGCGTTATAAATAGTAGTCTTTTTTAAATAAATAACCTTGAAAAAACCAAAACAATCGTTTGCATTGTAAACAAACATGGCCGCCATTAGGCTAACCCCGATCACTAACCCTAATACGAAGACTGATAAGAATATTACAGCCCTTGAATTCGTACAACCTGTTTGTTAACACTGTTAAAACTGAATTCGGGGAAATAGAATTAGCAAGATACTGAGTAAAGGCGTTACCTCAAGTGTGACAAGTGAGTCGATCTGCCACGGCGTCCATGCTATCGAACCAGAAAACAGCTTCTTTCCTATTGGAATCAGTGCTAAAGGATTTTTTTATCCACGCATTCGTAATCAATCCGAGAGGTTTGTCCCAGTCTCCGATGCAGAAACTGACATTGACTTGGATTCCGACTAGAGTTATCCTTCTTGGAACTGCTGTACTGTACTGGGACCAATGGCGTGACTGTAACACGCCTTCCACAGAACAATATGTTGTTTAATCTTTAAACCTGTTGGGTTTGTTGACAGAAAACCTTTTCTAGATGAATTCGTGGAATGGTTGTCTTTAAGATTTCCTAACTTTTAACCGTTGACTTTCCTCCAAGCTGACAGGTTTTTGCCAAAGTGTGTTTCAACACTACACCGTCAGCCCGTCACTAGACACACGTCAGTCGTGAATGAACGATGTTCCGGCGCACTGACTTTATCAAATAACGTTTTAGCTGTTATTACGTTCAGTGATGTTGCACTTAAAAGATCGATTTTATCATATTAACAAATGTTAATAAATTATTCCCTAAAAAATATTTTGTTGTATTTTAAAGCGATATTACATGGTACTATTTTCCATAGCGTAGTAATGTTATTACCGCTGGAATTTAATACGCGCAGGAATACGAATCAGCTGTTTGAGGCCACAAGTCTGTCTCCAGGTGTTTTTTTATTTCGTGGTTCTTCTTTTTAAATTACATTATGTGTAATAAATAGAATAACCAACTCGGTACGAGTCATTACGGGAAATATGCCCTCGTTAAAATAATGTTCAGTGCCTCCTCGCCAAGGCTCGACAGTGTGACCATTCCTTCAACTCGCCAAGGCTCGACACTGAACATTACTTCAACTCGCCAAGGCTCGACACTGTGAAGGTTACTTCAACTCGCCAAGGCTCGACACTGTGAAGATTACTTCAACTCGCCAAGGCTCGGCACTGTGAACATTACTTCAACTCGCCAAGGCTCGGCACTGTGAACATTACTTCAGCTCGGGCATATTTCCCGTAATCACTCGTACCTCGTTGGTTATTCTCTAAGTAATGAATCAAAGATGAAGTACACCTACTCTTCAGGAGACGCTGTGTGGGGCAAGGTGGTAGTTGGCATCGTGGTGTTGGTAACGTTCCAGTTGCAGCCATGAACAGACAAGGGTAATCTTGGGCCTGTGACGCCATTGACATATGCTCCGACAGAGATCCACGTCGTGAAGGCAAGGCTGGCCATATAGCCACAGATAGCCCCCTGTGACACAAACACCCATGTCATAACAGAGTGATATAGCCGATATTCCAAAAACATGATAGTCAAGACATGTCAGTATTTAGACTTGTGCTACATTTAAACGTGCTATATTTAGGCTTGTGCTGTATTTAGACTTGTGCTATATTTAGTCTTATGCTATATTTAGACTTGTGCTATATTTAGACTTGTGCTACATTTAGACGTGCTATATTTAGACTTGTTCTGTATTTAGACTTGTGCTATATTTAGATTTGTGCTATATTTAGATAGATATTTAGACAGTCCAGTGACGCAGGGAGCAGCATCGTGTGGAGATCATCGTGTGGATACTCAGCTTAGTATATTTTGAAGTTAAGACTTTCTATTGTTGCAGTGAGGTATACATTACCATCTCTGTCTTTATTGCTCTAATCACTGCTGTTGCATTAGTCCTGCAAATATAAATCCCTTTGTTGTGGCTTGATTTGTGAACTTATTTAATCTAAGAAAACATGTGTTGGTCTCACACCCAAATACTTTTTTTAACCTTTTACTGTTATTTCCAGTAAAATGCTGTATTTGCTTTAACTTGGGAATCAACACGTGGCACACTACATACCTATTGTTGTACTGGACAGGCCATGCTTTTGATTCAGTGTTACACTTTTCATAGCACTACAATCCACTGCAACATTTGTACTGTCAATATGTTCAAGGTATGTAATCCACATGTAATTCTTTACCTTGGTGGAAAACAACGCATTGAATCTGATGATACCCTTTGAAGTTGAACTCACCCATTTATTGGCTCTCGGGAAGAACATTCCCAGGATGAAGACTCCAAACACAGGTCCGTCGAATACACTCATGATTATGTAGGAAAGCTGAAACACACACAGGTTAGTGGAACATTGTTCCACAATCACCATTCATATTAAACCCAATGATTCACTGAAAGACACTGTTACATTCTCCAATCAGCAGGATGATCTCACAGTTTCCTGTACTTGCCCTCTACACAATATAACACGAATCTGAACCGAGCGATCTCACTACAGATCATCTCACAAACCTGTACTTCACTATACACCATGTGACGCTAACAGGAACCTGTACTTCCGGTCTACACCAGGTGACGCTACCAGGAACCTGTACTTCCGGTCTACACCAGGTGACGCTACCAGGAACCTGTACTTCCGGTCTACACCAGGTGACGCTAACAGGTGACGCTACACAGGAACCTGTACTTCCGGTCTACACCAGGTGACACTAACAGGAACCTGTACTTCCGGTCTACACCAGGTGACGCTACCAGGAACCTGTACTTCCGGTCTACACCAGGTGACACTAACAGGAACCTGTACTTCCGGTCTACACCAGGTGACACTAACAGGAACCTGTACTTCCGGTCTACACCAGGTGACACTAACAGGAACCTGTACTTCCGGTCTACACCAGGTGACACTAACAGGAACCTGTACTTCCGGTCTACACCAGGTGACGAACCTGTACAGGAACAGGTGACGCTACAGGAACCTATACTTCCGGTCTATACCAGGTGACACTAACAGGAACCTGTTCTTCCGATCTACACCAGGTGACACTAACAGGAACCTGTACTTCCGGTCTACACCAGGTTACGCTAACAGGAACCTATACTTCCGGTCTATACCAGGTGAAACTAACAGGAACCTGTACTTCCGGTCTACACAAGGTGTCGCTACCAGGAACCTGTACTTCCGTTCTACACCAGGTGACGCTAACAGGAACCTATACTTCCGGTCTACACCAGGTGATACCAATAGGAACCTGTACTTGGTCAACACAAGGTATGACGCCGATCTAAGTACGGATAATCTCATAGAGACCTACACTTAACAGCCACTCCGTGTGCGTCTGACTAGAAACGAGTGATCTCAGCAATATGATTTCATAGTTACCTTACTCATCTACACCACGTGACATTATCTGGAACCGAGGGATCTAACTACCAATGTTGTCAAAGAGACCGACACTACCCGTCCATACTGTGTAACACGAACTGGACACGACTGATAAAGTAAGGTTGATCGCAAACTAACCTCGTCTTCCAACTACACGTTGTGCTGTTGTCGGGAACTTCGGGACGGACCCAGGGATGATCTAATACTCACCTGTAACATGTTGCCAAAGTTACCGGCGAGAAAGGCAAGTCCGATGCACGCAAACCCACACACTGCAGCTGAAACACACAAAAGTTGGACACACAGTAGACATTGCACATCAATTACTCTACGACCACTTGCTCTTCATATATGACGCTTGTTATCCTTGCTAGTGATGTGGGCGGAGATGAAGTGATGTTGCTCATGGCCAGTTTATGTCTCACTATTTTATTTCGTGACGATTGACGATTCATACTGTTTTATACGAATGTTGTATGCCTGCTGCTGATTTTAAAGAGGCTAGTTGCTCTTGCGTAAAATGGATATGCGTCTTTGTTTCTGCTGTCATGGATATTCATTACTCTTGTTTACATCGGAATCTACTGCAGTTGACACTTTTTAAATTTGTTTGTTTGTTGTTTATTACTGCATTATACAATCTATGAAATATCTGTAAACAATCGAGACAATCACAAGATTGATGGCAGGAGCATCGACACGGTGATTGGCATATGATGCCATGCATCACTGAAGTTAGCGAGAACATACACAGCATATGGCCTACGGTAATATTGTGTTCTCCAACATACAAGACCTGGATCGGGACGTCGTGGACGTCCGCCCAACGTGGTACTCTGACATGTGCCACTCACCTGACAGCTTGGTGATGACGGTCGCTGTGATGCTGCTGATGTTACGGGCGCAGTGAGGTCTGATGAAGTCCTGGAGGAGGACCCCGGACAGGGCGTTGATGCCGGAGGACAGGGTGCTACAGTAACAATACAAGTGGGGGTCAGTCTACACGGATGTGTAACAGCTATGGATGTTGATAGAGGCCACACTGAATACTGGCAAACTGATGGAGTGGTAATGTCATACCTGAGGCAGCCACTGAAGACGCAGGATAGGAAGATTCCAGGTAGACCTGGCAGATGTCCCAAGATGTCCATCACAAACAGAGGAACCAACTGAAATGCATGAACCATCCGTGTAAAGTGTTTGCTAAAGATTACGTTTTTCCATCAATCTTTTGACCACAACAGGCCCGCCTAAAACAGAAATATGAATATTCAAACAATGTTCTGAGATAGGTGGCATGCCACCACAATGGTACCTCAACACACGACGCAAGCATATCGTGACTCTGGTTTATAAACACCCTGCTTCACCACCTCATGACATCGGTTTATAAACCGACATATAAGCGCATCATAACATCGGTTTATGGACTAAACAAACACGTCATGATACCGTCATATTACCGTACTATAGGTTTGGTATCAGACATGTAGACCAGTGTATTGGCTGTTGTACTAATATATGTAATTGTATTTGTAAAGGGCATGTATATTGGTATTAGTACTTGGCACAACACTTTGACTCACCTTGTTGTTTCCATGCGGAAACTCATCATCGCATTAAACTTATATTTTGTAAAGGGAGGTTAAATCTGAGGCTCCTAGCACCAATGGTTTTACGTATCAAGGTTGAAGAATTCAAACTGTCATTGACTGTCAGTAACGACATTAAAAAAAAGACAAGGAGTTGTACATTTTGAATGCGTTGTACTTGTTGATACACAAAGAGAGTTCAGCTCTTTCTAGAACTAATAACTCGATAAAAGCAGTTTAAAGTTAGCGGTGAGAGTGCTTCAGTAGACACTGAATGTGTTGCTGACGTTAAGTCCCGGCATGATATAAGCGAGTTACAATGTATGTACGTGTTTGAAAAGTATTCAAGCAAGGAGACAATGAATTAATCCGACACGCTGTATAATCCGACATGCCCCAGTGAGTGTCGGATTATACAGCTTCTACTGTACACAAGCTCTGACCAAAATCTTTTCTCAAATTACCAGACGAATTATATTATTTTAACCAATCATGATCCAATGTTGATTTAGTGAAGAATACGTCTTTAACACTGACTGCTTTAGGAACCATAATATATGACAACGTAATGCAATCATCAGATAGTTGCGCATTGTAAGTATCGCATATCATGAATACATATATACACGTTTCATATTTACATATTGGCATTCTGCAATATGATATTTGTAATACGGAAACACAACAGAATAACAATCTCAGTGTATCCATTACTTACATTCTCTAATTCACTTAGGATAAGTTCATGGTAACAAATGCCAAGTCGAATAGTCACAACAAATCCAACAACAAACAGCGACACAGACTGATGCTAATGCCCAACACTTCTGAACATTCGTAACACCATTTACACCAGCGTATGGGGATGTATAGAAGTGTGGCATGTCCTCACCTCGTCTGTTCTTCCGACCAGGTTAAACTGTAGTGGATCACATTCCTCGTAGAAGGCGAACAGCAGCACGCCGATCATACAACACAGACTCACTACAACCGCAAGGCCCAGGCCGTTCAGCCACATTGCCCTGTACAACATACAACACACATTGAGTACAACAGTACAACATACAACACACATTGAGTACAACAGTACAACACACATTGAGTACAACAGTACACCATACAACAAACATTCACTGCAACAGTACAACATACAACACCCATTGAGTGCGACAGTACAACATGCAACACAGATTGAGTACAACTGCTAGGCTCAGGCCGTCCGCCACATTGCCCTGTACAACATATCACACAGGTTGACTATAACAACCAACCAAACGCCGTTCAGCAACACTACACTGTACAACATACAACGCAGACTTACGACAGCAGCCAACCAAAGGTAGTTCAGACACATTGCACTGTACAACATAGAACACTGTACAACAGCTGACCAAAGGTCGTTCATTTTTTCAGCTAAAATGCTTGTTTTGGGCATGTGGCGGATATGCAGTGATTGGCGACATCGGGCCATCTAACCGCACTATGGGCCGATGATTGACCACGTCGACCCGAATCTCCATTGTGTGACGTAGGATATATTTATCTCCCATCCATCGAATGTTCTGACAGTACATGTTTATTTTGCATCTGTGTGTGTTATTTAACCCCAGAGTATTCTACAAGAAATATTGATGCATCTGATTTTTATGACAATCTCCTCACTCAGATATCTGAGTACCATGTGTATAATATTGGTTATATATGTGGTGATCTAAACAGCAGATGTGGCGACGTCCTAGATCACATTGAGGGTGTGGACTCGCTTCCAAGCAGAGAAGTTATTGATGCGACGAAAAACCGTTATGGACATCTTTTAGCTGATTTTTGATAAATTCAAATTTTTGTATGGTAAATGGGAGAAAAAATGAAAAAAATGATTTTACTTGTATTTCAGGCAATGGGGACTCTGTCGTTGACTATTGTTTATGTGCATATGAAGATTTTAATCGTATTTCTAATTCTGGTGTTACACCGGTATGTGATTTAGTTGAGTCAGCTAACTGTGTGGGATTTGTGAGTGCACAGGCTATTACTAAATTAGACCATTCCGAACTGACATGGAACATGGAAATTCCCCCCGAACTTCATCGTTGGAACCTGGATGACATAGGTAACAGTACTCAGCCCAGTGTGTCATGTGTGAGATATGACGTCACATGTGTGCCTGAATCCTTTTTAGACTCTACATTGTGTGTACAGATTCTTAATGACACTATATCCAAGTTGGAGTTGTCACTCTGTGAACAATCGGATGTGGATGTAGCCTATACTAACTTCCTAACTACAGTTGAGCAGGAAATCGAGTCAACGCTGCCACAAAAACATGTGACATTCATCTGGGGACCAAATAAGAGAAAGTAGTTGTGGAAGAAAGCTTGGTGGACTGAAACTGTGTAGAGCTGAAAGTGAATGGTGCAGATGTAATAACGTTCGCAAACGGAAGTTAAGAGAGTTGTATGCCAAGAAGAGGACTGTTTTTGATAAAGAAACTAAACGATGTAAACGACGCTACAACAAAGATAGTTTATAAGGATTGGAAAATCTCTGTGAGGAAAATAAAAATGAGTTTTGGAAAAAGATAAGAAAAGTTGGAGTTGGTTTTAACAGAATTCACATTATTCCAACTGAGGTGAGACTTCCTGATGGTACTTTGTCTGGGGACCAGGAAACCGTGTTGAATACATGGAAAGACAGTTACAGTAATCTGTTAAATAACGGTAACTCTGATGTGGTTTTCATTTCTGCACAGGAGCCAAGGGAGGTAACCGACGCAGACGACTATACATCTCGGCTCAATAACCCCTTCACGTTGGATGAAGTGAATGAAGTTGTGCTATCAGCGAGGAAAGGGAAATCACCAGGATGTGACAACATACCTGTTGAGATTTTGAAAAATAATACCAGTATAAAGTTTTTACATAAACATTTTAACACGTGTTTTGCTAGTGGGAAAAAACCGAGTGAATGGGCTATGAGTATCATCAATCCTATCCCGAAGTCATCATGTGCTGATAAATATGACCCTTTATCATACAGAGGTATCTCCTTGACAAATTCAAGCTATAAACTGTACTGTTCGGTGCTGAATACAAGACTGTACAAGTATACAGAAACCAGGGAGGGGCAGGTCCACAGTAGAACATATATCATCACTCATATCCATAGTGGAAACTCGTAAATCTTTAAAGAAATCGAAGTTTTTAGCATTCATAGATTTTACAAAGGCTTATGATAATATTGATAGGTCTATATTGTGGAAAAAACTGTCTGATCTTGGAATCTTTGTAAAGATGTATGAAGCTATTATCTCCCTTTACAAGAGTGTGAAGAGTTGTGTCAGAATAAATGGAAATATGACTGAATGGTTTAACGTCAAGTGTGGGCTTAAACAAGGATGCCTTCTCTCCCCTCTGTTATTCAACGTTTACATCAATGATTTGATAACTACCATAAACAGTTTCAATATTGGTGTGAAGTTTATTGACGAAACACTGACTGTGCTAGCTTATGCAGACGATCTGGTCCTGTTAGCTGAAGATGAAGAGGACCTAAAAGTACTTTTAACCATTTTACATAACTGGTGTGATGACAATTTCATGACTGTAAACTCGGATAAATCAAAAGTTCTACACTGTAGACCTGTAAATATGCCAAGAACGACTTGTGCTTTTCAGTGTGGTCCTACGTCAATAGACAGTTACTGTTATTTAGGCATATTGATAACAGAACACTTAGACTACGCAAGGTTGGCCAAGGTTGTAGCTAGTTCAGCAGGTCGAGCGCTGGGTCTACTGATTTCTAAATTCAAGTCCATGGGCGGTATGCACTACCCCACATACAGGAAACTCTTTGACGCCATGGTCTGGTCGACAGTTGACTACGAAGCAGCGATTTGGGGGACCTCAAACTGTACATACGCAACGACTGTACAAAACAGAGCTATGAAATTATATACGGGAGTGCGGAAATCTATCCCCAACGCTGCAGTGACAGGAGACATGGGATGGACACCTACACCAGTGAAACTCTGGGGCTCTCTCATGAGAATGTACACTTGACTTCATTGCTTAAACACAGACAGACTGACTTATAAGATGTTTAACTGGACAAAACAGATGGCTTCAAGAAAGAAAACAAACTGGATAAAGCGCTTACACCTGCAACTGTCATCACTAGACTTGACTGATTTGACAGAAGTTGATAATGGATTACGGAGGAAGGAAATTGTGCACACAGTCCAGGAAGCAGTACACGAAAAATGTTTTAATGAATAGAAAAAGAAAATAGATTGTCCGACTGGTCGAGATGGCAAGGGAGGTAATAAACTTCGATTATACAGAGCCTTTAAGATAGACTATGGAGCAGAGCATTATGTTACAGAACACATACCACGAGGACACAGAAGGGCTTTAGCTATGTTCAGATGCGGTGTTGCCCCTTACCAATAGAAACTGGACGTTTTAGTAATATGCCTGTGGATGAGAGGGTGTGTTGTAATTGTTTGAATGTTGTTGAAGATGAAATACATGTACTTGTATTGTGTCCTATAGTCTATTACAAAATGTTTGCTGGATAAGTGCCAATTTCTAGACAATAACTTTATCAATTTTACAGATGTGGAAAAGTTTTTGTTTATAATGTCTAGTCCATTTTAAGTAAATTAACAGCCAAGACCTGCTCTGATGTTTTAAAGGAACGACGCCGCCAACTTTAACATTAGTCTGTTAACATATGTAAATTTTATTATATCATATATCATTATATTTATATTCTGTATAATTTTATGTGTAAATAGTCTCTCATAATCCTTTTAATGGTGGCTCATCTTATGTTTTTATTTTATATTGTTTTAATTTCTGTAAATGAGGTGAGACTTATTATAAACAATATGTCTGTCTGTCTGTCTGTACCAAACAATATCAATCACTGCCTCGTTTGACGCCCACACATATTCCCAACTGGGCTAATAAGACACACGTACAATACCCTGGTTGATATCCTACATTTGTGCTTCCTTCAGTGATGGGCAGGCGAACACCCGCTGTATCTGGCATTGGTTGACGGAGTAGTAGGCCATCCACGTGGTGCCGCCACCCACCACCACTGACCAGAAGGAGAGGCGGGTGCGGGGGTCAACGCTGAATCTGTAACATCACCGAGTGAGCATCAGACTGTGTGTAGGTTCGTGGAAGAATCGATCAAGAAACATGAATTCTGACACGAGTTGAAATTGAACTTTGCAAGTTTGAATTTGTTCAAGTTTTGGAATGTGTGGATGGTGATTTAGGTACCTGTGGCTGCTAAGGGCACTACATTGCTTTATGCAACTGGTTGTCATACAATCACAGCTGACCTCTCTAAGTTTGACAACAACTTTGGTCAGTTCCGCCCTTACAGCGAACAACCTGCTTCCAGTAGGTGTCACACCCTTAAGATCTTAGGATGCTCTCGAAGTGTGTGCCACGAAATGGGCAAAAGAAGATAAACCTGTTTAATGTCGGTCTGACAGGGTTAAGTCAGTGCGCGATGTTGTCATTGGCGGAATGCACAACTGAAAAAGAGAAAAGTGAATAGATGTGTTTCTTCACGTAGCAACAGAGAGTGTTGTTTTCTAAATGATGTACGGTGTCAGGCTGTCACTGCCAGGGAGGTATCGCGACAGGATGTGGACGTTTTTACATAACACTGTCAAGAAGACATTGATATAGAATCGACATCTGAGTCGGGCTTACCTTCCTTCTCCGCTTTTTAAAAACTAGGTCAAATCGTCTGTGAATGTATTTACTCATTAGATAGGTTTACTGCCCAACGACATAGTGACGTCATCATTGCTGTAATCTCCGAACAGAATACTCTGCTACAACCAGCACCATGTTTGTATTCCTCGGTGTACCCAGGTAATGACAGTTTCAACCAATATAAAACCTCAGTACCAACTACTCGTTACAGAATGCATGCTGGATGGCACCGTGTACTGACAGGCAGACATAATGTAACCCTATCCAGAGGCGAGAACCGGCTCATGTCTTCCTTCCATATGTAAATAGATAACGATCAGAGGATAAACTGGGAAGGATAAATCAGACAGGCGTACGGCCAAGAGGTGGATGACATATATAACTGTCATAAACATACACGTTTTAGAGGGATGTCTTATAGAAACGGACGTTTAATATTGCAATGGAGTGTTGAAGTGCTCATGAAAGAACACCTTTAATACAAGTAGTATTGGACAGAATGGAAACAGTATAATGGAATGTTGGGATTTGAACTAGTTAAGCAGACTGGAGACCCAATAATCTGTCAGTGTCTTCAGGTAATAATTTAGTGGAATTACAGTTATGTACTACTTTTTGAGGTGGAGTCCTTCCAAACAGCCTCCGGTTTTATTCCCGATTGATTACAAATTGCCACTTTTGTTGAATGTTATATGTATTATATTCTTTCGGTCCCGTGTTTTTTTAGATGAACAGTTGACGACATTTTGCATTTTGAACTACCGGTGAGCAGGATGCACAAACACCCTATATCATTACTATCTGATAGTGATTCACGAACACATGATCCTGATACAGCCGGAATTGTACATACCACACTGCTTTAGTAGGCATTTCCTATGAATATGAAAAGTGTTTAGTCGCTATTATTTACATGTCATTTGCAGTGGCCAATATCGTCATGTCTTCCTGAATATCTACAAATTATCATCACACGAGAATCCCTTCACTCCTCCCCGAAAATATAGAAACAAAACACCCATCTGCATATATTGTCCAGTTAATTATTTAAAATAAAGGTAGGGGCAACTAGCTGTAAAATGACGGGGATCAGTGGACATTAGTGATGACATCCAGAGTAAGCATGTTCTCCTGCCTTACTGGTAAAACCCGCCATAGGCACAATTTGCTGGAAAGAGTAAATAATATTATACACACTCCGACGTCACACAGCAATACTCCTGCCATGTGACAGTGACTTGTAAACCAACCACACAGTCAAGTTATCGATGAACCGGGAAATGCAGTTGTTAATTTTGAATTCCGACCTTAATTTTACCTTATACTAAAGTTTAAGAAAATTTGAAAATTTGAAATTGTAAAAATCTCTAGTCTCCATATCCAATCCCACGCCATTATGCACGTCTGAGGCAGGTGTTCTGCTGCTGCATCTACCGCCTTCTGATCAAGTAGAAATCACTAGTGTATTTACTCTTGGAAGTTTATCCTGGAGTGTTGGCTGGCAACCTCCCACGCCCTTCCGAACCCTCCCACCACGATTGATCCTTGGATCACCACAGACAGGAGGCCAACCAATATGATGACAGCCTGGAAACTGTCGGTCCACAGAACAGCCTTCATTCCTCCCTGACAAAATATATACACAAGACGGATGGAAAGAACAAAGAACTTCACATTGGTTCAGTAGTGAAGAAAAGCATGTAAACATGGCGTCTGCATATATATATATAAAACCCTACCCCTACATCGAATGGCGAAACCGGATTGACAAATGTCATCGACACCATTGCCTGCGATCCACAGAGACACACAGATACACTAAGACATAAACACACACACACACACACACACACACACACACACACACACACACACACACACACACACACACACACACACACACACACACACACACACACACACACACACACACACACATCAGGCCAATGGCGTAGCAGTTCCCTGCGCAGAGAAACTGGCTAATCCGGAATATTGCTAGGTTTGTCAACACCAAAGGGGCTCGTGTGTTTCAACAATTTCGTCAACATCTGATAATTGGAACACTCACACAGACATACACAGGCAGTAACTTTCACACTTACAGGCGCAACTTCAGTCATAACATTACGCTTTTACGTAAACACGTATGTCCATTAACACATACGTACATGAGGCGTATCTTACCACTGACGTGTAGAGAGTGACCAGGCAGCCCACCGACAGTATAGACACCCACATGTCCAGACCAGAAACTGAAACAGTTACAGAAGGAATGTAAACACGTGCATACCATTGCTGACAGCCCAGAACTGAGACCTCACAGGTGACTCTAGTAACCGCATTTCTCTCACTTCACTTCTTGTGTGCGTCTGCGTCTGCACGTACGTATACGTGTGCGTGCGTGTGTTTGCAACCTATAGCACAAGGTATCCTCATTAAGACTGTACGTATAATGAATCCGTTTAGAGGTATCGACTTACCTGTATGCTGCATTAGGATACAAAGGTAACCACAGTTACTTACATGTTTTCAATGCAAGCGATGGGGCGTACAGCACACTGCCTAAATAGAACATCTGAAAATCAAGTGGAACATATTTCCATTGTCATTTCTCAACGTTAGCCTCGGTTCTAGTATCAGCCCGAAATAGAAACATTTCCTAGAAGAAAATGCATTACATTTGATTGAAACATTATTTATCCTCCAAAAATCTATAAACACACAACCACACAACCACAAACACCACACCACACCACACCACACCACACCACACCACATACCACTACGCCACGCCACGCCACGCCACGCCACGCCACGCCACGCCACGCCACGCCACGCCACGCCACGCCACGCCACGCCACGCCACACACCACCACACCACCACACCACCACACCACGCCACGTTCAATCGTCACAACTTACAGTTTGAAACAACCAGCAGAAGGACACGATCAGTCTCACAGTCGCCCCAAATCGCAGTTCCATATACTGAAATGGAAACGTTTAACTTTTAACGTCGAGAAAATCTACAACATGTTAACGTATCATAGATCTTATGTTCATCTTCGGGTATGGACCGACTTCATTTGTTACAGTGGAGTGAGTGAGTGGCTTTTGCATCAGCAATGTGCAACTATTTGCGACGACGTGTGCAGTGATTAGACTGACTGACTGACTGAGTTTGGTTTTACGCCGTTTTTAGCAATATTCCAGCAACATCACGGCGGGGGACACCAGAAATGGCGCAGTGATTAGCATAGACGGTACAATGGTATGTATAGCTTCTCAATATTCAGTCTGAAATATGTCATAGACGCGCCCAGAACGTACTCACGGCATGAACTGATATTTTATGATGCCATTTCAGTTTGAAGTGAAATATCGTTTAAATATTTTAAATAAACATGCCATTTCGACACTACATGTATCATGATACATATTTTGCATAATTTAATATATCCACTTTTTGTATCAAAATACTGCATGTGTTTTTACCTCGTAAGCGCTTGTTATGCCGAGATTATGCAGGACCGGGTTGAAGATGTGAGCTGAACCTGCCACTGCGACCAGCATAGCCAGGGCCAACCACCAGAACATGGTGCTGTGGATGTACGTCTCAGTGGGTAATCCTAATAAGGTCAACGCTGAAATGAACGTGACAACCAAGGACAAGGTTACCGGAAGTACGCCCATACTCCTTCCGGCCACGAGGAATTCTGACGGGTCCTGGCTTTTCCTGCTCTTTATGGCAAATGCCAGCCCTATACCCAGGGTGAAGGCGAGGGAGGCTCCACACACGAGGAAGTCCGACACACCGAGAGTCTTGGCCTCCCCGGTCTGGATGCTGTACGGTGTCGCCATGATGGTTCCTGAACAAACCATACAAAATCAGTTAGTTCGGTTTATAACATTAGTTTAACCTGCATACAGAAACAAGTTCATGCTCTGTAGCTGGTTATTATTGTGAACACGTTGTAACGACGACCCATACGACATGGAAAAATACAACGTGTGTCATCGTGTTTTCATAACTGTACTAATGACGTGCCTTGTCGTTAATACGTTTTCCAGAAGTATCTATTCTTGAAACAGGGGTATCGTTATAAGCACCTTTCAATGATGGGCCATTTGACAAATGATGAGTCTCTATTGTACTTGCCACAGGTTCATTAATAATTCTGGTCATTTTGACGTGACATACTGTAATGTGGAGAAAGCAATTACAGTTGATTTGCACGAAAAGGGCGATGTACATAACCCCGATAATTATCGAAGGATTTATTCTTTAAATGAAGGACTAACAAATGGGCAAATGTTATGGAAGAAAGTTTTTAAATATCAAGCTGGATTTCGGCAGGGCTATTCACTTGTTGACCATATCTTCACATTGTATGCTATCATCGGGAAAAATCTGTGAAGAAAAAGGGAAAAGTCATACCTTGTTTTTATTGATATAAAATAAAATTATGGTAAACGTGGAATCCAATTGTTTCCAGAGGTAGTTGAAATGTTAATGTTGTTATCTGCGGATGACGTAATTCCTCTGTCCGATACTACTGGTGGTCTTCAGTGCCAGCTGGACACTTTAGAATCGTATGGAGATAAGTGGAGATTAACTGTAAATTTAAACAACTCTAAAAAATAAAGTTCTAGGTATTAGGAGAGGTGGAAAAGTAGCTGCCAAGGAAAACTGGCGTGTGTGTGTGTGTTAAAAGATATGATTGCAATGAAAGAAAATCACTTACCAGCATGTAAAATATTCTTAAATGTCGGTCCGCAAACACCAAATGCGATCCTCTATGAAGAATGTGGTGGATTTCCAGTTTATATATTCTCCAATGTTCTTACGATGAAACATTGGTTCTAGTTCTCGACCATTCCGAAAAAGGCATATAATATGTTGTATTAACTAGACGCCGCTGGGTACCACACATGGGCGTCTGAGATCCGTCATATACTTTGCTCACACGGCTTTGGATTTGTCTGGCTTCCACAAGCTGTCGAGATCAGTGTGCTTTTTATCCTCATATTTAAAGACGGCTTGATTAGCATATTGTACCACAATTAGACATCAACTATTGAAAACAGTTCACGTTATAAGCTATATATAGAATATAAGAGTCTCCTTGAGCCAAGGGTGTATCTGTCCTCCAATTTAGAATATAAATTCCATTCTTATTAAAGAATAACGTAGGAAGGTGGCAAATCGTCCTGTATGTAAAGTAGATTTAGAAGATGAATATCACTATTTGTTGAAATGTCCGCTTATGAAGAACTTCGGATAAATTTATGAATAGCAATTTGCCAGTTGATCTGACATCTTTTAGCAATATCCTTAAACAAAACAAAACTGAAGACTAGCTGAATTAATTTCATGTAACCCAACTCAACCATTGTACATGATCCCTTTTGTTATCAACTCTTCTACTGTATAAACAACTCATTTTCGCCTCATCCTTCATCTATTACTTCTCATGTACCACTTGCTTGAATACGACAGTAGAATCGACGTCGAAACGTCGCCTATGCAGAATAAAGAAGTTGTATATTCATAAAAATAGTCCTCATTCTTCATCTCCTCAACTTCTAGAATGCCAAGCAAAGAATGCCAATCAAAGAAGAAAAGTGAAGACATTACCAATCTAGCTCGTTTTATCTATTATGCACGAGAAATGAGAGTAAAGTCCAGAAAACTAGAGAATCAGTATCAAAATTGTAAAGACAATCCAGTTATACATATATAATTATTATTATGTTTGAAATATATTCTATTGGTGGTGTAAAATAATCTGTGAAGGTAGACAGGTAGATGCTATGCATTTTGAGAAATTGTTACCTATTTTCGTTCACCCCTTCATACCTGTTTAGACTATGTTAATGACTCAGCGGCCTCCTTACGTAATAGACATATGGTGCTGGTGGTGAAATAATGCTTGTCTCATAAACCACTATTGTATGTGTCTGCGCTTGTATATGTGTCTGTGTTTGCGTCTGAGTCTGTACTGGAATATTTCAATTTGTTTATATATAGTTTGATGATATTTGTATGTCAAGAAAACCGGATACTTTGCTTACTTTGGGTCGTCTAATTTTAACGCCTAATTTCTCTGAATAATAAAACAGCACTTTCACAAAACTAAACTAGTACCGTTTACTGTTCTAGAACCGTTTTCTGCACTACGACTGTTTTTTGCCCTAGAAACGTTTACTGCACTATTACTGTTTACTGCACTACCACCGTTTACTGCACTAAAACCGTTTACTGCAATACCACCGTTTACTGCACTAGAACCGTTTACTGCACTACCACCGTTCTTTGCACAAGCACCGTTTAATGCACTGGAACAGTTTACTGCACTAACAGGGTTTACTGCACTAACAGGGTCTACTGTACTATTACTGTTTACTGCATTAGCACCGTTTACTGCACTAGGACCGTTTACTGCACTAGGATCGTTTACTGCACTAGAACCGTTTAGTGCACTGGAACAGTTTACTGCACTACTACCGTTTACTGTACTAGAACCGTTTACTGCACTAGCACCGTTTACTGCACTGGAACAGTTAACTGCACTAGAACCGTTTACTGCACTGGAACAGTTTACTGCACTAGAACAGTTTACTACACTACCACCGTTTACTACACTAGAACAGTTTACTGCACTAGAACCGTTTACTGCACTAGGACCGTTTACTACACTAGAACCGTTTACTGCACTACTACCGTTTACAGCACTAGAACCGTTTACTAAGGTAGAACCGTTTACTGCACTAGAACCGTATACTGCACTAGAACCGTTTACTGCACTACTACCGTTTACTGCACTAGAACCGTTTACTGCACTAGAACCGTTTACTGCACTACTACCGTTTACTGCACTACTACCGTTTACTACACTAGAACCGTTTACTGCACTACTACCGTTTAATGCACTAGAACCGTTTACTGCACTACTACCGTTTACTGCACTACCACCGTTTACTGCACTAGAACCGTTTACTGCACTAGAACCGTTTACTACACTACTACCGTTTACTGCACTAGAACCGCTTACTGCACTAGAACCGTTTACTGCACTACTACCGTTTACTACAGTAGAACAGTTTACTGCACTACTACCGTTTACTACACTAGAACCGCTTACTGCACTAGAACCGTTTACTACACTAGAACCGTTTACTGCACTACTACCGTTTACTACACTAGAACCGTTTACTGCACTAGAACCGCTTACTCCAGTAGAACCGTTTACTGCACTACTACCGTTTACTACACTAGAACCGTTTACTGCACTAGAACCGTTTACTACACTAGAACCGTTTACTGCACTACTACTGTTTACTGCACTAGAACCGTTTACTACACTAGAACCGTTTACTTCACTAGAACCGTTTACTGCACTACCACCGTTTACTGCACTAGAACAGTTTACTGCACTAGAACCGTTTACTGCACTAGGACCGTTTCCTGCACTAGAACCGTTTACTGCACTACTACCGTTTACTACACTAGAACCGTTTTACTAAGGTAGAACCGTTTACTGCACTACCACCGTTTATTGCACTAGAACAGTTTACTGCACTACCACCGTTTAATGCACTGGAACTGTTTACTGCACTAGAACCGTTTACTGCACTAGGACCGTTTACTGCACTACTGCCATTTACTGCACTAGAACCGTTTACTGCATTAGAACCGTTTACTAAGGTAGAACCGTTTACTGCACTAGAACCGTTTACTGCACTACAACCGTTTGCTGCACTAGGACCGTTTACTGCACTACAAACGTTTACTGCACTAGAACCGTTTACTGCACTAGCACCGTTTAATGCACTAGAACAGTTTACTGCACTAGAACCGTTTAATGCACTGGAACCGTTTACTGCACTAGAACCGTTTACTGCACTAGGACCGTTTACTACACTACTGCCATTTACTGCACTAGAACCGTTTACTGCACTAGAACCGTTTACTGCACTAGAACCGTTTACTGCACTAGAACCGTTTACTGCACTACTACCGTTTACTGCACTAGAACCGTTTACTGCACTAGAACCGTTTACTGCACTAGAACCGTTTACTGCACTAGCACCGTTTACTGCACTAGCAACGTTTAGTGCACTAGAACCGTTTACTGCACTAGAACAGTTTACTGCACTACCACCGTTTAATGCACTGGAACAGTTTACTGCACTAGAACCGTTTACTGCACTAGGACCGTTTACTACACTACTGCCATTTACTGCACTACAACCGTTTACTGCACTAGAACCGTTTACTGCACTACTACCGTTTAATGCACTAGAACCGTTTACTGTTTACACTAGAACCGTTTACTGCACTACCACCGTTTACTGCACTACCACCGTTTACTGCACTAGAACCGTTTACTGCACTAGAACCGTTTACTGCACTACTACCGTTTACTGCACTAGAACCGTTTACTGCACTAGAACCGTTTACTGCACTAGAACCGTTTACTGCACTACTACCGTTTACTGCACTACAGTAGAACCGTTTACTGCACTACTACCGTTTACTACACTAGAACCGCTTACTGCACTAGAACCGTTTACTACACTAGAACCGTTTACTGCACTACTACCGTTTACTGCACTAGAACCGTTTACTGCACTAGAACCGCTTACTGCACTAGAACCGTTTACTGCACTACTACCGTTTACTGCACTAGAACCGTTTACTGCACTACTACCGTTTACTACCGTTTACAACAGAAACTGCTTTTACTGCACTAGAACCGTTTACTGCACTAGAACCGCTGACTGCACTAGAACCGTTTACTGCACTACTACCGTTTACTACACTAGCACCGTTTACTGCACTACCACCGTTTACTGCA